GTCAGTCAAATTCTGGATGAATATTTACAACCTGCTAAACGGGAAAGCAACTGATGGCTTCTACTCTTCGTTGCCTCTTGAAGAAAAGGGAGTCCGACAATTAATGGTGAGGGATTAAAGCCAGTAAGGCACACAGCGTCCCTCCGCTTGGCTGACCTCATAAACAACTGGTGGTCCCGACTCTTGGGGCTCCTGGTGAACTGGGGAGGGGTGAACGCCAAAGACCTCGTTCACCCAGGATTTCCAGGGGGGAGACTATAGCTGCCGTAACAGGACAGATTTGGTCACAGTCCAGCTGTGTCCAGCCGTGTTGCCGTCCAGCTGTGGGGCCTGGGGCAGGGGTCTAACCCTCTGCATGGGTGGATCCCTCACCTCTTCAGTGGGAATAAGAAAATTCCTCATGAGAGACCGCGTGTCGTAGCTCACGAACACACACAATAAATGCCCTGCAAATCTCGTCGCTATATGTTATTATTCCACCTCAGCGGAGCGCCCAGATAAAGGAAGACAAATTCTCGAAGTGAAAAATATTAAGAAAAAAGAAAGTTTAACCTTTCTGGAAACAAACCTTTACCAAGTGCATGATAAGCTTTGTACCTTCTGAAACACCAGAATGCTCTCCTGACAACCTGATCGTTTGCAGAACAATCTATTAGCATCTTGTTCATAAATGCTGATGTCCTTACAGGCTGTGAAGAAGGTAGTAGATTTTCCAAATTTCCTAGTGCTTTTCAGTTCTTATGATGCTGTGTGCATGCACGTGTGTGTATTAATAGACAGACAGATTGATACGTGGATGGATAGATGCATAGATGGTGTATGCACTCACACACATCTACACATATCTACACGACTTCCCTCTGTCTTAGCCATCAGCTACTATTTCTCAGTGTTCTCCATGTGCCTGTCTTCAGCAGCCCCCACGTTCCTTCTCTGAAACCAGAAGACCAGATGGCTGAACGCGTGCACAGCAGAGCAGTCCCTCGGTAAGGCCCGTGCCGGAGCTCAGGATGGACTTTGTGGCTTCCAATTGGATGCATGGGTTCTCTTGCTTCATTTTTGGTGTTCGTCTTAAATCTAAAAGTCTCCACAGAGGAAGACCCATCTGTACCCCGCCCCAGCCTCTCCTGGGTCCTGCCAAGGTCCCCTCTGAGCCCCGAGGACATTTAAAACCCTCTGATGACTGATGGCGCCTCGCTTCCCTCTAGACGTGTGTTTTTATGTCGTTGAGGGTGGAGCGAGAGGCAGGTCCCCTGTTCCGGCCTTGCTAAGCTTCTGCTCTCTTGGCCACCTCCGGACGTGGGCTCATTTCGGGGTCTGCGTTCTTCAGGAAAGGTTCATTCAGTGTTTATTGCCTGGACATTAAAGGATTGGAGGGTCTTGGCTAAAGGAACTGAAACAGAGTGTTTCCCTCTCTACTTGATGAACACGGCCACATTTGACGACTTTTATTCCCACGGCGGCTGCATCAGAGTGCTGAGTGTGAGGCCGAAAACCCACAGCCGGCAAGAATTAAGTCAGCTCTGCTTCTCTTTAGGAGAAAATGGCCCATTAAACATGAACGCGTGACTCCCAGTGTTGCTGGCAATGCCTATGAACAGGGCAGTCTTAGGCATGGAGCCGGCCTGTGGACGGCCAGTGAGGGGCTCTCTGGGCTGTGCCATCCCCTCAAAGACCGCCTCCTCAACCTCCACCCAGTGGACCCCTGGCCAGCTTCACCAACACAGAAGTTTGACAAGGAGCGTAGTCATCAAATCTGGGACAATGAGCTGACTGAGGCCAGCAGAGCCCAGCGCTGGCGTGGGACAAAGCGCTGTGTCGGGGCAGTGCGGTGCTGCTCGCCCACATGCAGCCAGGCCAGGCAGAAAGTCTAGATCACAGCATCAGGGATGTGACAGGCTGGCCCGTCCCATCCAGAGTCTGGGGCAGGGGAAGATCGGAAAGCCTCTCTCTCTCTTCCCCCTGGATTGTTATCTTTGATTTATCTCAACAACGATGGAGCAGCCAATGCCATCTGGATCCCTGCCATTTGCAGATATTTTGCTAAATTCTAAGTATGAATTCTCCTACAGATCTTCATAGAGACCCGTCATAGTGGGTAGTTAGTCATCTCCAGTTAACTTATCAGGAAACAGGTTCAGAGAGACTAAGTTGCTGATAAGAGGTAGGGCTTGGACTCAAAGGATATGTCTGTGACCCCCAAGTCCACGGGAGTGCCTTCCTTCAAGATCTGTGATCTTCCCTCCCACGTGCTGCCTGAAGGACCTTCCGGTTCCAGGAGCGGCGAGCTCAACCTTGGTACTGTGGACACTGCGGCCTCTGTTGGGGGACATCCTGGGCATGGGAGGCTGTTGAGTAGCATCCTTGACCTCTACCCACTGGACACTAGTAACACCCTCCCCAGTCGCGGCAACCAAAGGATCCCCAGACATGGCCAAGTGTCCCTTGAGGGCAAAACCACTCCCAGATGTAAACAGTGCCACAGACTCTGCACAACTATTGCCACAGCCATGAGCCATGTACCCCGACAGCTAAAAGCAGGAAAACAAGTCTTCCAACCCGAAACCAAAGCTGAGTCCTCTAGACACAGGCAGGACTGTGGGGCGCAAGACCGGCCTTCTCTGTTGTGCTCAAAGATAAATTTCATGAAAGCAGCCAAGCTAAAAAGCAATTTTCATTTTCAGATGTTTCTAAAGTGGCACATTCCAGGCTCCGATTTATAGTGCTGCCCGTCTATTGGAAGGTGAACCAGGACGAATCATAAATATTGCACTTTCATCAACTTTTACAGGCAAATCAAAAAAAAAAAAAAAAGAATAAGAAAGCGGCGGAATTATCCTGAATTAAAAGCCAGGCTGCAGGAGGAGTGATTAATTTGGACGGTGTCCACTCTGAATGCTGTGGGATAAAATCTGGCTTTCTGTGAACACTATACTCCACGGAGCGGCAGCATATTAAGGCCGTTTACAAGGTAATGAGTTAGATAACGGTGGTGAAATGAATTTACAGGCCAAAGTCGCAGGCATTATGCAATCTGCGATGACTCGGCACGCCGCCGCAGAGTCTGAAATTAATTTTAATGGAAGAGGCAATGTTAGTCCGGAGACAGGCTGCTTCAGAGAGGCCCGGCGACCATTTGGCTCCAGGCCCTGGTGCCCTGGCACCCCCAGGCACGACGTCCTGAACCTCGACACCCCTCCTTCTAACCAAGCTTTGCCGCCAGTGGAGGAAGAAGCGGATTTGTCACTTACAGCTGCAGACACCTGTGAGGCATCGAGGCAAACTCAGGAAGTGGAGCCAGGGGCCAAGAGAAGTAGAGAAACACAGGGAGGGGAGGGCCCCCGTTGGGCACCAGAAGCCTGGGGAGCTAAGAACAAGCTCATTCTTCATTGATTCAGAGCTGGAGGGGAGGAAAGGCAGTGTTTCAACCCCGAAGCAGTGGGAGAGCAAGAAAGGCACTCTCGGGGTCCCCAGGGGCCTGATTCCAGCTGGAGGCCCTGTCAGCCCAGCAGGACACAGGCAGAATCAATTGATCTCCTTGGCCTGTTGCACTTTGAGGTTTCCAGAGCCCTCTGACCTTCTGTTCGGAGAGGTGAGAATGGAAAACTGGCCCACTTCTCACCCTCAGCATTTCACACATTGACAGGGTGTCAGGTTACTTGCTGTGCTGTTGGGAAGAATGGAGAAGAGCAAAAGGAGACAGGCAATAGACTGCCAGAAAGTGAATGTAACGTGTGACAAATAAGACATTAATGTCAGGATATGTAAAGAGCTCCTACAAATCAATAAGAAAAAGTCAAACCATCCCCAAAGAATATATTCATCCAAGTAGAAATATAAATGGTCAATATAAAACATGAAATGTTCAACCCTATTAGTTATCAGGGAAATAGAAATTGAAACAAAATACAATGCTCTTATTACCCAGAAAATAAAAGGGCTGAAAAATATCAAGTGCTGTGGAGGTTGCCCCAGAAGGAGCACACTCATGTATTCCTGGTGGGCATTTAAATGAGTGAAGTCATTTTTAAAGGCAATTTAACAGTGTTTCTCACATTTTTAGATGCGTTTACCACAATACAGAGGGACGTTGGTTGTAATCAGGGACAACCACTGGCAACAATCCAAATGTTCATCAATAATAGTTAAGTAAATTACTAGAAGATCCAATCTATGGGATACTCTGCAATTTTTTAAGAATGAGGTAAAACTCTATGTTCTGACATGCCATGTCCTCCAATACATATGAAATTTAAGAAGCAGGATGCAGAAACATACATATAATAAATTCCATTTATGCTAAAGTAGTATGTATATATATGTTTATGTATCTATGTAAACGCATCGGAAAGGTGCCAATGGCGGTCTCTGCCAACGGGAGTGAGAGGCGGGGATAAACGGGGGCTCTTAGGGTTTGCTTGATGCCCACTGAATTTTTGACAATGACAACCTATTCATGTATTACTTGTGGGGTGGAAGACAGAGAGTGAGAGAGCAAAACTATGATATTTAGAATTTGCTCACGTAACAATTTTATATTTTATAGTTTTTAAAAATTTAAGATCATGGGTAGAAAGAGAATATGCAGAACAATGTGTTTTTCACTCCGTTTTACTTCCTTGCCCCAAAGCCCCATTCAAATGACACCCAGGCCATTCTCAGCCACAGTTAGACTGAGGTGGGGATTGTGGTGGCACAAAGCGCCCACTCGCCGCCCGCGTGGCATTGATCTTCCCCAGGGGATCACACTCGGTCCTTCTGGGACTGGTGCCCCCTCCCAGGCTGGAAGCTGGTGCAGTCATCGTGCCCTCCAGGAAAGGACACTTAACTGGATCCTGACACCGGCCGGGGAGGAGTCACAGACCTCAAGGGAGAAATGGCTGATCTGTGCCCTTCTCAGTTCTCATGTTTTAAATTGTACAGGGGTTTTTTTTCCCTTTTTAAAGAAATTTTAGTCATCCATTAAATGAAATGGAGGCGATGTCGTTTCTAAGAATGTCCAGACACTTTTGACTTTTTTTGCATTTATCATTTCTTCAGCATTTAAAATGATTGCGGGTCTTACTTCAACCCATCACGGGTATGGCTGTGCGGCTCGCTCCCCATGAGGAGGACAGAGGCTGAGGCCTGGGAGGCAGCTTCCCCAGGTCATGCGGCTGGAAGGGCACAGGCGACCCAGTGAGTCGGACTGGACAGTCTGCGTGCAGGTCCCACGGCGGCGTGTGCCCTGACCCCTCCAGCAGCGGGAAACAGAGACAAGCACAGTCCCGATGCAGGGCTTCCCTGAGGACCGAGTGGGACGCCACACGCTCCCCGGCGCCGGGCTCACGGGAGCCCCTCCTCCAGCAGAACCCCACACTGGACCTCCACCCAGCCCTGGAGCCCCTGTTGCAACACCGTGTGTCCACACTCAGGATGCAGCTAACGCCCGTCACACCTCAGAGATGTTCAGCGTGGAGCAGCGTATTCTCTGTCTTCATGATTCACTCCCCAATTTGTACAATGTTTCCTTTCAAAATTATTTCTAGGAAGTAAAGAAAAGCAACACGCAACAAGCCTGTGGAATGGTAATTCCAAGTTAAACTTGGGCTCCCATTTCCACATCCTTCTTACGAGAAGCACAAGGTTTCCTCCCTCAAAACACAGCCTTTCTCGAGGCCACTTGAGGGCAGGGACGCATCTGCCCTGGGCACAGGGCTCCGCTGACCTGGGGTGGGGAGAGAACCAGGCCGCAGATGGCCAGGCTGGGTCAGAGGCGACATCCTGGCTTAGGGTCCTGGCTGCACTAGCGGGCGGGGCCATCTCCATTTCCCTTCTTAGTGACTATCCCCAAAGGGGCCTGGTCACAGTCAGGGTGAGGGGCTCCCCCGACTCACAACACGGGGACCGTCTGACACAGGATCTGAGAAAGGGGCTCTGTCGCCAGCAGCTGCCCACGCGGCCTGCAGCATGAGCTGCTCCGGGCTCGGAGGGCCCTGAACACTGAGGCAGCCCCCATCTGAACTTGGTGTTTCCTCTCTCGGCACAGTGTCTCTGTGGCCTCCCTCTCTTCAGCACAGGCTTGGTTTCAGAGGGGTCTTATTTTGCAAATGAATCAGTACGACTTTTCCCAGTGAGCTCTTTATGGATGGAATTGCGTGCCATTCTTCAAAGCAACGGGGCGTGATCACTATCAGGGGACAACAGGCTGAGCTCCAGAAACCAAAAGGAACTCTGGAGAACCCCTTACCCCACAAGCCTCCCAGCGAAGGTGTGTCTGCACCCCGAGTCTGCACACGCCCCAGCCCAGCGCCAGCTATGGTCAGGCGTCAGCCAATGCCTGGGTTCTTGGAATCACCAGTGAAGGAGGTGGAAGCAGCGGAAAATCACTCTGCTTGCCCTCTGAGGTGCCTGGCGGGATTTTTCCTCACTGACCCTGTAAATTAACTGGCTCACACCTTGAGCGTGTGCTTTCTTCCCGTGATTCAGTTCACAGTGAACATCAGCCAGTGCTCAAGATGAAAACTCCCGGAGCAGATTCGGTCCATCCCACCCAAGGCAGGGAGCCCGCCAGAGCCCGGCTCTCAGGAGGGTGGCGTGGATCGGGGTCCATTCTCCCTCCTCCCTAGAACCACCAACTCCGCCTCTTACAAAGCAGCCGACGGTCGGGGGAGGGGCCTCTGGAGGAGAGCAGTGGGCTCCCCACCATCCATTCCTGATGACAACCATCTCTTCCTCCAGATCAAAGGTCGGTTCCAGAGATTTGGTCCATGTTCTACATAGAGAAGCCTCTATCCCATGATAGTATGATTTCTCCAGCACGGAATCCTGGGTGCCAGGCAACACAGCATAAAGCAAAACACGAAGCTGAATGCAGGATGGAGTGATGGTGACACAGCTTGTCCCCCCCTGCCACCTCATCACTCACAGAGGCCCGGAAGGCCAAGAAAGGACAGCGGCTACGTCTTCGCAGGGAGGTGGAAGCAGGTGGGCATCTCTGTGCCTTTTTTCCAAAAATGCAGTTTGAAAACAAAAACAAGAGTAAAAAACAGGAGCTTTTAGAGACCCTGTGTCAATTATATTAAAAAATTCAAAGGGTTTTCTCTTCCACACAGGAAAGCAGAAGCAGTTGTTGGCTGTCATCTCATCGCTTCTTTCAAAGCCAGCAAGAGTCACTTCTGAAATGACAAGTCCTTTTGTATTTCCCAAAGTCTCACTCTGGCTGGCCTCCCTAGTCCATCCTGCCTGGGGAGCCATAATCTCCAAGCCATTTGGAGAGAGTCGGCCAAATCTTTAAAAGGCACCACGCAGGGCCAACTGATCCAGGATTATTTAAACACAGGAAGTAAAAGGAAATTAAAGAGAAAGAAAACAATGTTCTGACTGGAAGTTCAGTTTTACGGTGAGAGAAAGTTTGAGAAGAATTCAGTCCTCCTACTTTTTGCTAAGGAACTGTTGGCAATAATTCCCTTGGGAAGAGAACAGCTAGTTTTCGACTCTCTCCTGACTCCTTCACTTCAAATGCAGAAATATTTACCATTACGATGGGAAAATAGCCCAATGGAAGTCATCACGCTACAGGCGCCCCTGTGCACAGAAGAAAGTTTCCCTGATAGACGCACACGTGGGTTTCCAGACTTCTCTTTAATCAGGTAAGGGGCTATCCCTAATTTTACAGAAGCGATGTCGCTCTGGTGGGTACGACTTGACAGCTACAGGAAAACCTGATGCTCCTGTGTGTGACTCGATGCCCGTGCGCACAGACCCGAGACAGCTACGGTTCCTACTCCCAATCGGCCACATCAGCTGAAGCTGAAGACACCAATGTCTTGTTCCAACCAAGAAAACACAGCCCGCCAACTGCAGTGAGACAAAGGGAGGGAGCTGACATTTCACAAACACTCAAGCTGGGTTTCTTTTGCTGTGTAAGCTCCTGCGCTCCTGACCTAGCTGAACAGTGTACTTCCAGGTGGATGATGGATGGGAGGAACCTTCGATGTCCCTCTCAGCATTCATTATTAGAGGGAGAACCAGAAAGGTCTATTTCATTTTAAATAACACGGACAGCTGCCGTTAACGATTCCCTCTGAGATTTGTCATCAATGTTTATATTTAGTCGCCTCAGGAAGAATCGTGGGAGTTGATATCCTGTTACATTTCTTTTTTTTTTTTGGTAAAGTATGAAGAAGGAAAAAGGTGTTGATAGTTTTTTTTTTCCTTTAAGCAAAATCCAAGTCAGAACATTGAGAACAATCTAAAACAGAAGGCTCGTCTAACCTAATCAGATGTATATTGCCAGAAATAGGTCAGCCACCACACGCAAACTCCGTCCGCACGAGTCGGACGTGTGCACTGAGGGTCCTGCCAGACCAAGAACGGGGCAGTAAATGGTTCTTTTACATTAAAGGTAGGGTCTCAGGACCACGCAGGGGATGAAGCTACGAGGCTGGCCTCACGAATGTCAGGGTCCAGTAAGTGGAGCCAGCGAGTCAGGGGTGCTATGGGTTCCTACTGTGAGGTCAGGACCCACATGGGGTCCTGGATGAAACATAAGTCAAACACGGCTACTGACCTGAAAGAGCGCACAGGCTGGCGAGGGAGAGGCACAAAACCAGAGTACCAGACAATGCAATCTGTGGTTTATTAGGTGCATGTGCCAATCTGCAGGAGGACAAGAGGAGTGGCGAATCACTCTGGTTTGGGGGATGGAGTGTGATGGGGGGGAGGGGACAGACCAGCCGGCCACCTGGATATGGAATCAACAGGCCTTACATCTCATCCCGAGGCAACTCGCCAGGGCCTGTCACCCACGTGACACACAGTCACCGTCCTGGCTCCCTGCTCCCTTCTTGCCCTATAATCCCCTCTCAAGTGCAGCGGAGGGGTTGTTATAAAGCACAAATCAGAAGCCATGCTCCTGCTCAGGACCCTCCAAAGCCTTGACATAGCACTTAGAATGAAAGCCAAACTTCTTGCTGTGGTCCCCAACCTCGCCCGTGGCAAACGCCTCCTTCCTCTGACCCGCTGTGTCCCAGCCACCAGGACCTTCTGTCCCTCCAGGGCTTCCGGTCCATCCTTGTTTCAGTTTCTCTGCCTCTGCTGTTCCCTCTGCCAGCACTCAGCCCGGAGGCTTGACTGAATCAAACGCCCGCTCCGGCCCCCTCGGAGGGACAGACCTGCCCTGAGCACTCAGTCTGAGCAAGCCGTCCCCACCATGATGTGCTGCTTCGTTTTCTTCCTAGGGCTCTCCTACATGAAATCACCTCGTTTATGCACTTACTCTGTGTTTTTGCCTCTCCCCCTAGAATGTGATCCCCACAAAGGAAGGAGAACGGACAGCTGAATGCCTAGAAAAGTGCTGGGTTAAATATTTGTTGACTGGAAGAACAAACGGAGCTTAAACAGGGACCCTGAAGAATCAAGTACCCTGGAGGGCACCCCGGCATCTCCCAGGTCTTCCGAGCCAGCAGGTGGTCCACCTTTCCAGTACATGCCCGGGAACTCAGGCGCACAGGCTCCTCTCAGAGCTTGAGACCCCAACACCACGGCTCCTGACGGCCACTTTTCTTACTCTCCATTTAAGTCCCAAGCATACGGACGACTTCTCAAACTCTCCTTGTACTTGTAGTTACGGGTGAAGTAAACCGGACAGGGTTTACTCAACACTTTCAGTCTAATGAGATGAGTAAATTATTAGCAGTGTCCCAGACGCCTCCCATTGTGACTACAGATCGACACCCAGGTATTCCACAGAGGCACACTGACTCCGTTGACGCAGGCTTCTTTGAGCCCTACTGCATTACGCTGAGTGAAATGTCCAACGAAACATTATATGCCCAATGAAACATGGCTTGTGAATTACAGGGACAAACGTTGCTTTTAAAAACTGGAGAGTTTGGATTTCACGAGGCTAATAATTGCTGGATGGCGTCACTTGAGGTTTCAAAGCTCCTCCAGGGAAGAAATTAAAGAAGAAAATGGCACGTTGTCCATCTCCACTTCACTGGGGTAGAAATATCACTTTGATAGTTGAGCCAATTGACAAATACGTCAACAATGAAAGGAACAAATTGAGACTGGCACAAAATGCACACACGATTTACGTTTCTCATTAGGAGAATGTGGACTCTTGGTAGAACTTGATTATTTACCAAAAGAGACAGCTAAGAATCAAAATGACACAGAGAACATTTCTGGCCCCCATATTATCTGAGCATAAGTAGCTCCACCCTAGACGCTTACTGTCCCTTACTCACCACACAGCAGAACTGAGCACCAAGATGTATCTGGACCCAACTCTACCGATAAATGGCTAGAGTACAAAATTGCTTTGTTTCAAAGGAGATATACCCTGTATCTTGAAATCTAGTGATTAAGTGTTAAATAGCTCTGTCCATTTTGTCCCCCATAAGGTGACTTCATATTATCCATTTTAAACTTAGGAAAACCTTATTTTGAATGTGTGCGTAGGGCGATAGCATTACAGATATCCCCCAAAATTAAAATATTAAAGTTTGGCCAAAGAAAACAAAGAGAAATTAATACAGGAACTGGCAAATGTTTGGAACTTTATAATTGATGAGCAACAGAGAAAGACAACTCCTTCCTTCTCAGTGAATAGGTCGTTTGGCCCCTGGCTACCTTGTCACTGGTAAAAATGGAAAACCTAGAAAACAAAAGTCCTCAGGGACATCCATGAGCAAAGAGCAGACCTGAAATTTCAACGCCGCTTCTCTCTCACTCTCCATTCTAACAGCCTTAATGTCTATGGTATTTTATTGCAAATTACCTCAGTTCTTTTTGAATGTGGACAGAAGAATAATTATAAATACACAAATAGAGACAACCCAACAGACTAGCAAAGTCATTCCTAACCCTGAGGTAGTCCCAGAGCAAACATGTAAATTAGGGGCATAATCAACGTGCTCCCCCTTAGGTGACCCCAGGGAGGGAAGCCTCAGAGGAGACCCTTCCGTGGGAGCACGACAATATACACACGGAGTGAGGCAGCCATGCCAATTGGCCCGCACAGGACCTGGCCCCTGGCCCCAGGGGCCGGATGACCCTCCCCTCTCTCCATCGGGCCCTCTCTGGGCCCCACACTGCACGCTGTCATAGAACTTCTGGGAAGTCCTTGCCACACGCCAAGACTTGTCCCATCTCTGTGGCTTCGTCCAGGGTTCTTCATCCTGCAATGCCCTCTGCATTCTCCACGTAGATACGATCCTTGAAATCCAAGTCAAGTCAGCTTCTCGGGGAGCCTCTTGCTGTTTATTTTTTGTCTCTGTCCCTGTAGTGTCCAGCTTCAGCAAACCCCATTCCTCCGACTGACGGGACCGACTGTCCACTCCGCTATAGCATGCGCACACAATGGCCCCGACCTTCTTGGAGCTGAGAGCCTCATAACCATGCGTCAAAAATCAGTCCAGTTATAACATGAACTTGAAAAGTGCTGTAAAGATAAGATACAGGGGGCTGGCCCTGTGGTGTAGTGGTTAAGTCCACATACTCTGCTTCAGTGGCCCGGGTTTGCGGGTTCAGTTCCCAGGAGCAGACCTACATACTACTCATCAAGCCACGCTATGGGGGCATCCCACTGACAAAATAGAGGAAGACTGGCACAGATGTTAGCTCAGGACTAATCTTCCTCACCAAAAAAAGAGAAAAGACACAGGGACCAGAAAAACAGCTAACATCTTTGGTCAGGACTCCAGAATAAAGAAGACTTGAAGTCAGGCCATAGCATGCTTGTGAGCAACACCTAAAGCTTTCAGATGCCACGGAGAGTCTGGGGTCTTCTGTCACTGCAGCCTAACTTGTCTATGCTGACTGACACCAGAATCGCTGAGGGTCTCTATGCCAGAACGTGGGGCAGGAAGACAGGGGAATAATTGTGCCAGTTCCTCCTGCAGATCCTGTACATACACACAGAACTAGCTTCTGGAACGCACTGGAGCTGCTGGTTGAGATCTGTCTGGGTTCTCACATGGATACACAATCAACGCACACACACAAGCCCGCACAGGCGTTTTCCCACATAATTATTTAAGAATTCTAGTTAAATATCGTTCTTTTTATGTTCTTGGCTCCCGGCCGATTTCTTGATATAATCTGAACAAAAATTATTTTTTGGCAAGGCCTACTAACCTGAAGTTTCTTTTACCTTAATTCATAATCATTCTGTGTCTCATTTTCCAACCTAGAACGGATATTCATCTACTTATCCACATTTCATTTGCTGAGTGAAAAAGCCTTCAGGCGCATAACCAATTCCCCTAGAAGCACAAATAAATGCTCACTTCCCGGCTGCTCCACACTCAATGCAGAGTTTTGAGATGATACCGTGAGACACTCAAAGTCCGATGAGCCAACAAATATGGGTCCCAGAGAGGGCAGGCAGAACAGCACCTTCACGTGCCATTTTCTTAATAATCGATGGGGTCATTTTTGACAGTCAGCAGAGGAGTAAATCCGACGGCATTAGGCCACAGTTGGATGATCTCAAATATTTAGGATTCTTTAATTCCTTGTGCTACTTTGGTTTTTTTAAAAAAGGCTAAATGTACAACTGGGTAAATTTCATTTAAGATGCCACCTTCACATGTGGCCAGAACTGCCATGCAGAATTTTAAAATAGAGACCTTTCATTCATGAATTCAACTGCTGTCCCCAGTCTGGCTGCCACTGCCTGGGTGATTTGGAGGAAGTCCCTTCCGAGCCGAGAAGGGGACCAGAGAAGGGGCCGTATGTGTCACGTGCCCTCCCAGCCCATCTTCCCGGCCGGAGCAGAGCAGGTGGTCTAAATCAGACCAGCAAGTCTTCACACTGATGGCTCTCCCGGGAAGTTACAGCTCACCATTCTTCAGGCCCAGAACCCAGGACTGGCAGTAACCCATAATCCTGTCACAATGTCACCATTGCCAGCACACTCACAGACGGTGGGCTAGGCCCTTTGAAATAGGAGTTTTATGAGCTCCAGACCCTTGGATTAAGTGCCCAGGGTTCAGCATGCACCCCGCCCTCCACTACAGCCCTGGGCAAGAAAAGGAGCCACTAGCCCTTGAGAAACAGCTCATCCGGGAGTCCTCTCAAGCGAGGGCTGGCAGCTCAGAGCCCCACACGCTGAGTCTCTGGTCCGTCAGGATTCAAGCTTCTCCTTCTCACCTTGAAGATGTCCTGCACCACAAGTGGTCATAAAAAGGCAGCAAACAGATGGGTCTACAAGACCTTCCACCAGCTACTTCCAGTTTCTCAGCTTCCCACTCCTAGCACAGGGCAAGGAATCAACAAAGGTGTTTCTCATCTCGGAAGAAGGAGCTTCTGCTGTGGAATGAGGTTATTCACCCACCTTCTCATTTGCCGGCTTCCAAGCCAGTTTCTAAGATTCGCAATCCGACATCCTTCCCCAGCTCCAGTTTATCTTGAATAAATAAATAGGCACATAAGTGAATGAAACCAAGTAATCTTTTCCTGACAGTTTTGTCAAACAAAGGGAATCTCATTTTTTGGCTACTTCACAACTCCCCATGTTGGTCAATATTAGGCCATAAAATTGTTTTCTTTGTCACTGGAGTCATTTATCTCTCCCCTGAGCCTACACAGCTGCAGAAAAGTTCAATGAAAGTAATCACAATGACTAGCGTTGATTGGGATCAAGCTCATTGCCGCATTTTGTGCTGAGCACTCACTTCACCTCTGTGAAATTGCAACCAACTGTGATACTTCCCAGCACCGAGATTTATTCCTTAGAAATAGTGGTAAAATGACCAGAACAGCCCTGCAGCGACAGTCACTCACTGGCCTGCATGTGTCTAGTGCTCATCCTCCATCATGCTAAGCTAGCGAGCGAGCCCACGGTGGAGCACGGGATGGTGTCCTCCAGGTGGAGACGGATGTACCTGGGTTTTATCTCAAGGCTCCTCACAGCAGAGGGCACCAGGCTGCTGCCACCTGCTGCTGCCATCTGATGGACACGTTACTGTCTGTTCCATGGAAGACGTAACGAGGCACCTTAGGGTTCACACTCTAAAACTGTCATCACGCAGCTTTGGCCAATGTGCTCCTGACTGGGCCAAACATTAAATAAGACAATTTGTACCTCAAAATGCAGCACTTCATAAGTAAACAGAATTAGACGTCAACCAAAAGGGCCCAGAAACTATCATTTGTTTCAAGGCATCCTCTAAATTCTTGGTCCAGCAAGTACTTTATGATGAATAACAATACAAGTCATCACAGAACCAGATCTAGAAAATCCAAAATACCATCCCATGGAGAGACCTGACAGATGGACCCCGAGCCTCTCTTTATTCATTCAAGATGGCGACTTCCTTATGTAGCAAACAGGGGAGTGTTGGCAGGCGGTCTACGACTGGAAGGCTCTAGTTGTGGGCAACTCATCTATGTGTTCACATAAAGCCACCTCCTGGATGTCACCCCTGCTGGTTTCTGTGACCTCTGGGCCAGAATGAGTCTCCTTCCCTATCCCCTTGCCATCCTCCAAATGGTTGGCCCCCTTCCTATGCTGGCTCCCTTTCTTTCCCCCAGAGCCGCATGTCGGGATTACTTGCATCGTCCAGTCGAGTGGTATATTTTAGTCTCCCGTTCTATTTAAGGTTTTAAATGATGGGATTACGCTTACCTGGGTTATTTAATTATGTCAAAGAGGCTTTCTGGGAATTATGATTTCTTAATTAACTCATCTTCTTAAACTCTGTAATACTCTTTATATTCATAAAATGAACTCGGAAGCAATGAGACGGCATTTAAAATCTTAAATCAAATGACTCTTTAAAGGTGCAACTGATTCAGAGGGCTCTTCCCTCCCAATACTCTAGACTGGTTGCTCTATACGGGGTACTGAACTCATTGCTCTGATCCAGCACACGGAGGGGCCCTTCTCAAATTCTCCATCAGACAATAAACCCTTCTAAGCGACATGATGCCCAGCAATGCCTGGGAGAGACCTGAGCTTGAGGAAAAACCAGAATGGCCCTGTCACAGATGTGGGGAAAGGCCAGGAGCAGGCAGAACGCACGTGCCAGGCTTTGGTTTGGATCCTCTGCAAAGTCTGTAATCTCTCTCGCAAGTTCAGCACGGCCCGATTTTTATCTAGATCCAAGAGTTCCACCTCTTCTCAGAGATTCTGATGTTTAAAAACAATCATGTAAAATCTTTTCATCAAGTCCATAACAAGACCAACAATATTTATTTAACTATGAAATATTTCAAACCTACAAAGAAGTGCAAGAAATAATCGTACACGCACACACTCCATCTAAATCTAACAAACGAGGACACCCACCCTAATGGCTCTAGACCTTCAGGAACAGTCACAGTTACAGAGGAAGCCGGCTTTGCCCACCCTCCTCCATTCACAGCTTTAGCCACTATCTGGAAATGGGTTTGTGTGTCCTCTCTCTTCAGGTTTATGTTTTTATTCTGTATGAACACATAAACAAAATACAGTATTTGAGGGTATTTTTAAACATCATATAAATGGTACCATTTAGTCAATATCACTCTACAGTTTTAGACACGATTATGTTAAAGATTTATCCACGGGGATATGTATGCGTGAACAGTTTATCACAGAATCACACTGTTTGAATATGCCACAATTTACATATTTATTCTCTTATCATTGGACATTTTGGTTTTCTTTTGTTTGTTTGTTTTTGCCAAACAACACAGCCATCACTGTCCTGTGCATTCTCCTTGGGGAAGAGTACAAGAACGTCTCCAGGGGAAATGCCTGGAAATGCAAACTTACTTAGGACTTCCGTGCACAGAAAATGAAGGATGGGATTTTCCCCAAGATTCTTAGTCTTCCTACGATGTTCA